CTCTCTCTCTCTCTCTCTCTCTCTCTCTCTCTGGACTCTTGTATAACTCTCTGAGAACACCCTGTGTCTATCTCCGTATCTCTCAACAGGTCTCAACGTATCTCTACGTATCTCAACAGCAGGTATTCTCTCTGTCAGTATAAGTATACGTTGGACGAGCCCATCTTATGTAAAAAGGGGAGAGCCCCACAACACTGATATAGATAGTTATGAACAGACTGACATAGATAGGCAGATATTAACAGACTTATATAGATAGATTGCTATGAACAAACTGAAATAGATAAATCAATAGGCAGATAGACAGATAGATAGATGGACATGAACAGACTGAATATATATATATATATATATATATATATATATATAATATAAATATATATATATAAAAGTAAGATATAAAATCCGGTGTTCTTATAGATATTTTTATTTTTACAAAATAGTGCTCAATGTAAATTTACAGAGCATTAATATAAATTAATTGACTTAAAATATGTTTTTTTCGCTACAGAGTTCCAACCATGTTTCAAAAATAGAAGCTAAAAACTCCGAATTTAATTTTGCAATTAAATTAAAAGCATTAGTTCCATTTCATCTTCAAGCGAATTTTGGAGTAACTTTCAAAAATTACCGGGTTTTAAAGACACAGCTAAAATCACGATTCCATGGTTACAGAATATTCTACTTAAATTGAACAAGGGATGTCTAGATTTTCCTTATGTCAGTATCATTGTATCAGTTATTAGCTACAATTTGGTAAGGGGTAGGGGTGTATTTTACAATGAAACCTGACATCATTTGAATGGATGTCGTTTGAATTTAAAAAAAAAAAAATTATTGTTAACGGTAAAAAAATTTCAACGTCATTTTTTTCTTTTATAAATTTAAAGATTTTCGGGGGTTTTTTGATCATAATACTTTTTATTTAAGTACGATTTGAAATATTCTCCTTTTTTAATTTTTATTATACTATATTCTTTTTAAGAACAGTTAAATGTATTAGAATCCATTATATTATGTAGGATTATTTTAACATCAAGTTTAAGTATGTATATGAGGTTACATTTTTTTTTTTTTAAATTTATGACTATGACGGCAAAAATGGTTACTTAATTTCACTGATTTAGTAAACTTTTATTTTATATATAAACCTAGTAATATAATGTTTCTCATGTAAGTACAAAGGACATGGGTCATTCAAAAGCTTACATCTTATGGCATTTCATATTAATGTTATTTTACTATAGGTGTTTTTTTTGATTCTTTTTAGTGTGTAGTATTATTTAAAAGAAATTTAGATTAGAATTCATTCAATTTAACTACAATTTTAATTACAATTTCAAAATTACAACTTTAAAATTTTAAAATATTTTCATTGTTTAGTTTTAATAGACTATATTACTTTATAACAGAAGGAAAATTACTCATAACAATATATATATATATATATATATATATATATATATATATATATATATATATATATATATATATATAAGCAAATATATGGATATAGATCCGACAGTATGAAGAAAAATACAGAAAAAAAATCTTAATATGCAATTATGCTGTATTAATGTTAATATAAAGTCGACGTCGGACGTTTCGGTCTATTTCAGACCATCTTCATGGACATTTTCATTTTCATTTAAACATAACATAACATATTAAGATTTTTGTTTGTTTTTTCTGTATTTTTCTTCATACTGTCGGATCTATATCCATATATTTGCTTACATACTGTCTACTGGAAATACAAACCTGAATTTACTTTATAATATGTAAGACCTCAAGCTTGTACGAAAATATAAGAATCTATTGATCAAGTAAGGAAAGGATTTATTATCAAACTGTTTTTTAAAACTGTTCCATCGTTTTTTAAATCATTTTTGATTTGCTTTGTAACGTGGAGGACTTCAAGCTTGTATGAAGATATAAAAACCTATTGATCTCTGCGTATTCCTATATCAACGGAAGGGATTTCTTGAACTGTTTATATAAAATAGTTCAATCGACTTTTTTAATATTGTAATATTTGGAAATCATCTTCGAATACGTTTTCACAACATCGCCCACGTGACGACTACGTGATCATATTTAAACGGAACGCTGATCTTATATAAAAATTTAAGTTATCTGTTTGGATTAGTTGTGCTCTTATGTCCATCGTCTTTTCGTGTTGAATTTTTATATGTTCTAATGTTAATTATGTTTAAATGAAAATGTCCATGAAGATGGTCTTAAATAGACCGAAATGTCCGACGTCATATTAACATTAATACAGCATAATTGCATATTAAGATTTTTGTTTGTTTTTTTCTGTATTTTTTCTTCATATATATATATATATATATATATATATATATATATATATGAACCGACTGATACAGATAGATAAATGTGAAAAACTTTGATAGAATAAGAGTCTGTTTAATATCTCGGCAGGGACTTCAAACTGATTGCCTGTAATGCTTGTATTTATGAGGTAGCCAAAAAACGCCATTTTCTTTTCTATTCAATGAATTTATCGCCAGTGGTAATGTCTCGGTGTATTTCCTTTTTCACAAGCAATTTCGACGATTGTCCACTTTTTTTGTGATTACATTCGGCGGAATCCTTTTATTATATAAAAAAAAAACATTGAAATAATAAAAAAATTTCCAATGCATAACAACATATTTGAAGACATAGCTAGTATAATTACGCCCGCGTATAACTTACCCATGTGAAAGCAGGTATGAATAAAGTACCATGTAGAAACCCTATCAGCTGTAGATACGTGTGTTTATCCATAGAAATACATGTAGAATTAGATAATCATATATCAACATACGTACATGTCGGGGATAAATTAAACAAAAGCAGGCTCTGCTTGATAATTTTAGGGTTTTGATGGAAGTAAATGTCAAGCCATGAATTTGAGAAGTCGAACTGGTGTTTTCGATTTGATTAATCGCCATATATTAAAACATATACCTAAGACTGTTTTAAAAAAGGAAACTGCAATTTAAACTAGAAAAAATGCATGAAAATATAAATATATTGTGTGTCGTGTGTTTAGCTATTTGAACTGCTCTCAAGTATATATATATATATATATATATATATATATATATATATGTGTGGTTTTTGTGTGTGTGTGTGTGTGTATATAATTATACTATTCAACAATCTTAACGGTCCAGAAATTAATTACTAAAATGTTTCTGGTTAATTCTGTTTAATAACAATGAAATGCTATGTTAAACAATAGTAAATTAATTGCCGATATTTTTCGAAATGCTCCTGGTGTGTTTTCAATAATAACTGTATAGTGACTTTATTGTCACAACTATATATATATATATATATATATATATATATATATATATATTTATATAAGTTGCATCAAAACTAGATTGCTTTATAATTTATTTCAATAAGTTTGTAATACTGCATCATCAAATCTGGTTTAAATTGGGTTTTAGTAAATTTTGGGAAACTATTTTTTAAAATTATGAGACAAGTATGAAAAAGATAATTGTTAAAATAAATTATAATTTTTAATCGAGTTTTCGATGAAAAGTCATGAACATCATTTTGTTCTGTATAATATATTGAGCAGGATATTTCTTTTAATTTTTATATTAAAAGACCTTTAAGTCCACTTAATTTGATTTTTGTTGTATTAATGCTATCTATATCATATATATATATATATATATATATATATATGAATATATATATATAACATGAACCTATCTAAATAAAACGGAATTATATTGTTTTTCTAAATTTAATATATAAGCATCGGTTTCAAGAATGATTGATTTTACATTATTGCTGCGATAGTTCGAACGTGCGGTTTTTTAACATTCAACAATTTGCGAAAACTGTCGAACACCTTCAGGGAGTAACCCGAGCCAAACCTTTGTGTATGCACATCAACTGGTGAAATAACCCAGATAAATAATTCATACATTGTTCAATAAATTAGATATTTCAAGAATATGCGCCTTTTAATCTTTTAATGCCTGCTTAATGGATTTTTTCTTTTTATATAACTTTTCATTTATTGTTGCACCATGGTCGAACACCTTCAGAGTGTCAGTAACCCAGTAAATAATTCATACATTGTTCAGTTAATCAAGAACGCTATCGCTTCTGGATTTTGCTTTTTTTAACTTAAAAAAAAAAAAAAAAAAAAACTGTTGACACTTCTATCTTCAAACCTTTCAATCAAACCACGAAAGCGAAACTTAATGATTTGGTTCTATTCGTAGCGCATGCAACAATATTGTTCAAGAGCATTTTATATTTTGCAAAATAGGTTTTCGCAGCGGTTAAATACCGATAATCTGTTTGAATTTGGAACGAGATTCACGTGGAATAAAGTTTATTTTTTTGGACAATTTTAACCCTTCTGCCTGAGCTCCTGAGACAAAATTCGCAATACTTGATGTATAATGTTTTACGGTAAATAAAAATAGTCACAAGTGTTTACTCACCGTTCAAATGCTGGCTCGGTACTAAGTCATTTTTCTCTACCACTGTTTAACCGCTGGCTGGGCATTATGTCATTTTTCTCTACCACCGGTAAAGCGGTGGTCAGGGCTCAGAGGGTCATTATAGAGGTTTCATTAAAATACTGTTCTTATTTCGTTAATTAAATCTCATATGCAATGGTAGACACACCCATCTTCATGGAAGATGGCAATTTCTAACAACAGTAACACGTCTATTTTCCGTATCTTTCGACATTTCGTTAATGCGCCTCTCTTTAATGTGTCAACGCTAAGGGGCCTTGTTCTGAAAACTTCCGTTGCATACTCACAGATAATTGTTGATATAAACTTTTTTGATCCAAGGTGTTATTGAATATTTGTTATTATTTCTGTTTGTTCTGATATACGATATTTTTCTATTCTATTTCTTAAATGATAAGGTATTTTAGGGCAATATTGAAATGCATTTCGAAAAATTATTCCATCGCATCTTTATCTTTCAGATGCTGACTGTTAATGAGTTCTTGCCATCGGCTTCATTCGATAATATTTGGTGGCACGGTAAACACATTAGAAGCGGTTTTATCTTTAAAATAAATATAAAACTTCAGATACTCAGGTGCATAACTATGGGCATATTTATTTCTTTTTTTTAGACCTAGCTTAATATTGACGGCAAATCGTTATACAAAGTAGAAAACCTCACAATGGAATAACTTTATTAACGCGGTAAAAACGGCCAGTTTAAATGGCTGACAGTAAATCAAAAAGGCGATCCTTATACGATACCTTTAGCTCCTCAGTTCGTTGCTAGAACTGAATTAAGATTTTTCTCTTTTTTTTAAGAAAATTTTACTTTTTATCTTTGGATTAACTTAAAGTATATTATTTAGGATACTGAAATAAGTATAACATTTATTTATTTTATTTGAAGTTGCATATTTTATCTTTAAACAAACTTATTGATGTGAAATTCATAAATGTCATTAACAATTTTATCACAGAAAGTTAATATAAATTTAATATTTTCCTCTTTGCCGTTCATCAACAATGAAGATATTAAGTATAAAATTAATTTTTTATGAATAATTTGTTTTTCTTGAACAGAACAAACAGATATTATGTTTTTAAAAATGTGTTGAATTTTTCTGTCTTTCGTAAATAAATAGAAATGTAACGTTTTTCACTGCGAAATTAATGACAAATGACACTTATAGAAATTATCACAAAGTTAATATCAAAAATTAAATTCAATAAATTGAATATTTTACAACTATTCTTAAAAATATACCACAAAAATGTAAATGTAAAGACATTATTATCTTGTCAATATCGTCTTTCTTATTTTTACATTTTTTGCGATCATTTTAAAGAGCTAAATTTACAAAAAATGTAATTATTAAAAACATCATTATTTTGTTGCACAAAATTAATTTAATTTCTGCCTTCATTCTTTCTAGTAGCGAATATGTTGATTATATAATGCATTTTTAATGGCTAATTTGCCTTTTATTTATAACTCTTAAAGTATGTTGATACTGTCTTGTAAGAAAACAAAAAAATGACTCTAAAATTTTACTGCTACTATTTCCAAAATAATTAGACAGAAATGTGCCCATTTTAAAAATTTGAAAAAAAATTAATTTAATATCTTTCTATGATATTATTGATTTAATTTGAAAAATAATTACCTACGGTTATTTAAATTAATGTATGTTGAATTTTATTAAGGTTGTTTTTAATAAAACAAAATAAACCAGTTTAATATTTTTACAACATATTTTTTTTTTAAATATACTGTAAAAAAATTAAAAGTATTAAATAATGTAAAAACAATTTTCCATCTGATTAAAAAACAGTAATTATTACAAGAAAAGTGCGATCAAGGAATCTACCATCAATATTTGATCGTTTGTAATAAGTGTATTACTTTGTCCCCAAACAAAACTTCTGTGCTATGCGAAATGTGCAAAATGATGAGTTGGCGCAGTTTCTAGAAAAAGGACAAAATCCTCACTTTTGAAAAATTGTATCAAAATATTTGTGTTAACAGTTTCATGCTATAAATCAAAAAATAAGCTGTTCATTCAATCTGTTGATATTTTCCACTGGAAATATTCCAATGTTTTTAATTAAACTTTTTGAAAACTTGAGATTTGAATGTTATCGTGCTGATATATATATATACGATTTCTTTCCTTTTCAAAAAGTCGAATATCAGCACTGGTCACAGATCAATCAAGCAATTCGTTATCTTAGTAAATTAAAAATTGATAATAAGAAAAAAAAATAAAAAAAGAATATTAATGTTATGTCACCACAAAGGATTGGGACAAAAATTACGATTCTTATATTCTTATTTTGTTACATCTCGTTCATTATATAACACATTTCAGAATGACTGAAAGTTAGCCACTTTAAGAACATTATCAGATTTGGCATAAGAAGTTTTAAAATTAGATAACTTTGAATTTCTTTGTGATGTTGTAGTGAAATGTCTGAAAAATCAAAAAAGAAGTTTATTCTTTTAGTTGATGAAGTGTATGTTGCCATAGAATATCATGGAGGAAATCTATTTGGTGTGGCTGGATATTTTAAAGGAATAGCAAAAACAACATGGGTCATAATGGTAAAAAGGATTAAATAGTGGACCAAAAAAAAAACAAAATGTTTACATAAAATGATCCGAGGTGCAAAATTAGAAGCAACATTTTTATATGAAAATAACTGATATATTGTTGATACAATCCAACAATTAAATGGTCAAGTAATTGTAACTGTATGTGACAACAATCAGACATATCAATCTTTTTTTTTTTTAAATTTAACACTATTTTCAATAAAGATTGGATAACAAAAATGGCGTGGACTTACTTTTTCATTATGTCCACCATTTTAAACATTATTTACATTATTCGGACTATTGTCCTCATCTTTGTCGCCATATTTATTACAACGTTTCGGCCGTTGTACACTCCGGCTTTCTTCAGGTGGTTGGAATGTCGAACTGAACTGGGCTAGACTGTTCTAGTTCCACGTGCCATGGTTTTAATGGATGTCAGTTATCAGTTATTTCCTGTTAATTTCCCTCTGAAAGTTCTCCACTGCCTTAACCGGGTACTGAACTCACACTCTTTGGGTCCTGTCACTGGATCTAACCAACGCCTTTATCCACTGTGCCATGTGTCCTTGAGGAGTTCAAAAGTTAATTTCTTTGTGATTGTATGATACAATTATATTTACAGAAGAGATGATTGAATTCAATATATACGTTCCGAGAATGAATGTTCACAAGAGATTTGCTATATCATGTCATGATTTTTTCTATCAATTTCAGTCTTCATATCTATCTATCTATCTATCTATCTATCTATCTATCTATCTAGTTCAGTCTGTTCATTATCTATCTATCTATCTATCTATCTATTTCCCTCTTTTCATATATGTCTATTCATATCTATCTATCTTTCACAGTCTGTTCATATCTATCTATCTATCTATCTATCTATCTATCTATCTATCTATCTATCTATCTATCTCCCTCTTTTCATATATGTCTATTCATATCTATCTTTCTCAGTCTGTTCATATTTATCTATCTATCTATCTATCTATCTATCTATCTATCTCCCTCTTTTCATATATGTCTATTCATATCTATCTATCTTTCTCAGTCTGTTCATATCTATCTATCTATCTATCTATCTATCTATCTATCTATCTATCTATTTCCCTCTTTTCATATATGTCTATTCATATCTATCTATCTATCTATCTATCTATCTATCTATCTATCTATCTATCTCCCTCTTTTCATATGTGTCTATTCATATCTATCTATCTTTCTCAGTCTGTTCATATCTATCTATCTATCTATCTATCTATCTATCTATCTATCTCCCTCTTTTCATATATGTCTATTCATATCTATCTATCTTTCTCAGTCTGTTCATATCTATCTATCTATCTATCTATCTATCTATCTATCTATCTATCTATCTGTTTATACATGCCTCTTCATATCTATCTCTCAATCTATCTTAGTCTGTTGATATCTATTTATCTATCTCTATCTCAGCTTGTTCATATTTATTTATCTATTTCAATCATATCTATCTTACTCGGTCTTACTCTCTCCATATATATATATATATATATATATATATATATATATATATATTTGGTTGGATAGATGTGAGTTTGTGACCTGGGTTTCACGCTTTAACGATCATCAGAGAGGGTTTGTCTGACGATCGCTAAAGCGTGAAACCCAGGGTCACAAACTCACATCTATCCAACCAAATATGTTAGTCTATTCTGATATTGAGCGCTTTCTATAAGTACAGCGCATATAATATATAAATAATTATACATATATATATATCTATTTATATTTATATACATTTTTCACACACACACACACACACACACACACACACACACACACACACACATATATATATATATATATATATATCGGTTATCTCACGTATTAATTTAGCTCAATTTCAGTAAGTGTATTCATAGTTGCAATAAGAGAATTTCATTACAAGGTGATCAGCAACACTTTTGTTTTCTTTAGATAAAAGGATATGCAAATTATGAATCGACGTATACAGCGATCCGTAAAAGCCGTAAAAGATGAAAGGAAATATTATCCCCACCCACCACAGTCAATTAAACTAAATGTCGCAATGAAGCTGCGATTCATCAATTTGATGGGCGTTTACCCCATACAGACAAAGACAAAAAGTGATTTTTAATAGGATGTCAGTAATACTTTCAAAGCTAAATTTGGAACTTTAAACTCAAATTTTCAATTATTAAAACAAAGTGTTTATGTAAATGCGTATACAATTTGGTCTTTCAAGTCAAACAAGGATTTAGAAAGAGGCATCAACTTTATCCAATTCAATGCAAAGTAACTCATGTCGGACATATAAAACCTGGGTTAAATGAGTTTAGGGCAATGCAATTACGTCAGTAATATCTGTGGAAATCGAACATAGAATTATGTATTCTAGGAGTAATTTTGCCCAACACCGGAAGTTGTTACAAAATGAATAAATATCTTCGTCAGATCGTGAATGCCATATGGATGTCATACATAATCTCAGATTTTTTCAGAAATATCTAGACTCCCAGATGTATTCACAGATCAATTACACATGGATTTGAGAGAAAAATAAAAAAGACAGCAGGTCTTAGCAGGGAATATCCTACATCAATCGGAGACAATCACCGAAGACAACTAAAATAAATAGCACATGTATATCGAAGAGAAGTTAATAAAATAATCAAGAAATGGACCGTCTACACTATTTCAAACAAAATGTTATGAAAGAAAACACAATCAATAGTGGAAGGAGCGATAACAGCTACTGGACAAGAGAAACATATTTTCCTGGGATATTCTTTAATAAAGAGATTTCACCCGAAAGTGTAACTGGATACTCAGTCAATCGAGGTCGAATATTATATTATAAGGAAAAAGTTAATATTAAAATTACCATTACCGAAGATAAATAATAATTTATTGGTACATTCTGGAAATGACACGTTTATCCATATTTCCAAATGGTGTATATTATGTTATATATATATATATATATATATATATATATATATATATATATATATATATATATATATATATATATATGTATGTATGTATCTGAGGGCGTTTTCAATAACTTGGATTTTAAATGTGAATTAAGTTTAAGCGTCTAATGGTATTTTTTCAGTTTGGCGTATATTTGGGCGATATTAGTTTTCACACATAATTACCATTACTTGAATAACATTATCCAATAGAGAAATAAATAAACTTTCACCAATAACACTGATTTCTTTACTGCTTTGATCCGTCTTAATGAAACACCTTTTATTTAAGACCAGGATAAAAGAGAGAGACAGAGACAGAGAGAGAACGCCCAGGTAGTTGCCCTGGTGAAACGAACGCGAAAAATGGCCAGGATACACCCCATAGAGCCTAGTCACTATATGTGCCGGTCTCTCGGGATCCAGAGGTAATACATTTCGTACGAGAGACACTCAGTGACAAAAAGATAGAAAATAATCGAGAAGAAAACAATGCAGTAGTGATCCCTGAAACGCCGTAAACAGTTATCGACTTTAGACCACCAACCTTAAAAATTAAAGATCATATTGGAAATTAGATCCGCTTAGGCCCCAGGACCCAGCGATGTTTCCTGCAGAGTCTATAAGAGATGCCCGAATATTCCGGTACATCGCTGGGAGATATTAAAAGCAATTTGGGAGGAGAGGCAGAGTTGAAAAAGCAGTGGAGATTCACCAATGAAGTGTAGATTCCTAAAGAAGAAAACTATACATGAATTCAACAGATCAGAACAATTTTTTGCTGGACATTGAGAACAAAATCTTTAGCATCCTGTCCCAATGACTTAAGAATTATATTATTTTAACAATTATATAGATACTTCAGTACAGTGGGATGGGATTGCAGACATTCCAGGTTGCCGGACTGGCAAATGGTAGCAGATATAGACAATCAGGTAAAATTCCCAGTGAAAATAATGCAGACATATCTATGTCCAGACATGATTATTTATTCGGAAAAGACCATACAAGTCATCATATTAGAATTAAGAGTCCCTTGAGAAGAAATCATGGACGAAGCCAACGAATTCAGTGCGAACCGATTGAAAGAGGCTTTGCTGGCCAGTCACTCTATAAGATGTTGCCAAAATTATGTGTAACAGGCTTGGAAAAGAACAATACCATTCACTAAATAACAATGGCAGAAGAAGAAACCTTTAGATGCTTATGGCTTAAAAGATTAAGTGATTAGCAGTCAGTAAAGAAAAGAAGGAAAGTTGCAGTTGATATTATTATTATATTTTTTTATTATTATTAGTAGTAGTAGTAGTAGTAGTAGTATTTATTCATTTAATTTTTTTCGGGTCCATTGGTATGCAACTCTTGGGTATGACCTAAAGATACACCCGGCCATGAAGTGTAGACTAGGGGACAGAATTAGGGTACCGTGAAACATTGTTACCTACGCTATCACTCATTTGCTTAAGGATTTTATATATATATATATATATATATATATTATATATATATATATATATATATATATATATATATATATATATATATATATATATATATATATATATATATATAATATATATATATATATATATATATATATATATATATATATATATATATATATAAACATGTTTTTTACTGCCACACCAAGTCAAAATTGATTTAAATATAAGGATCATATTTCCCATTTTATTGTTAAAATAAATACAAAACTCTCTCGTTTACGAAAAAAAGGGGGGATTTAAGGCGTCTTTCGACCGAGACTTCTTCAGAAAAATAATCGTCGGCAGAATAAAACAAAAGAAGATGAGAAGAAAAATTATTATCAACGGCCAATGTTAAAAACAATAGATTACCTAGATGTAATATAAAGGGGAAAGTTAAAGGGAAGAGGAATATATATATATATATATATATATATATATATATATATATATATATATATATATATATATAACGTGTTTTAGTGGACTCAGCGGTTTTCAGTCTGCCTCTATGAATTATGTTCACGAAGCGAGAGTACGATCTAAAAGATCAGCCACTCTACCAGTGATCTCATCCCACAATCCTCACTTTTGCTCCATATGCGGCCTCTTTTTGTAGCGAGTCTTAAGTGTTACTTAAGATTATCACACAAAATTTTATAACTGAATCAATTTAGCTGTCAGATCCTCATGCATCGAATTATACTATATATATATATATATATATATATATATATATATATATATATATATATATATATACGCAATAGAAAGATAGGAGGGTCTTAAATTTCTTTTTCTTTTTTGATTGGATGATTAACATGGATATAAATGGGTCAAGAGTAACTAGAATGCGTTTCAAGAGTGGTTTTGCGTGTGTGAGTATGTATATATCCCAGGGGAAACAAAATCGATACTTCATACTTCAAGCCGAGCGCGTCGCCATGGTCCTTACTAGATCGAAACCGTTATTATATTTGCTTTCTTTTTCATAGAAAAGCATAGATTACTGGTAAACAAGAAGTTATCCGTGATTGGACTATAAATTACCAAGTGGAGTCGCAGTATGTGATTCAAATAAATAAATAAATAAAATAAAATGGAAAAAAAAACTGTAGCTGACGGATGGCAGACGAATCGATACCCGATAAATATTCGCCTGGAGAGGGGTGATGATGTTAAGACCTGAAAACCTTAATGAACCTCGGCTAGAAACCTCACTGATAATGTGTGCCAAAAAATCAAACAGATACATTTAACCTTTAAAATCATTGTCCAATGTCTGTTTTCCTTTCTTTACATGCACTCAAACTCCGAGCTCCCTCATTGCTGATGAATTAAGTAAGCATACAAGTCAATAGTAAAGCGCAACCTCTAAAATCGCCATATTCTATTAATGAGATATTTCGTTCTTTGATCAATTTTCATGACTAGAAAAATATTTCATGTCTGTGATGATGAGGCATTATTTACATTATTGACAGCCGCCCTAATATTCTCATCGCTGTTAATAGCATCACATTATTTCAGCCAATGTGCCCTACGTCCTTCTTCAGTTATCTTTCGACCCGGTAACCATCAGGGAATTTCAATCTCAGCACGTTAATCTACTTTGGTAGATTCTCCTCTTTCTATCATGGTGCTGTAATCTAGATCTGAATGAGGAATAACCAAAACGGAGGTTGGAAATGAAATGGTAATCTTTATAACATCAACAAAATACAATACTCGCCAGCGGCGTGAAGTGGGTAAACCACTGCTTAGACAGCATATTACCACCCCCTCAATTACAATAGTGTCCAGCGTATTTTTGAGGATTGGGACATACCCATTAGTGTTCATAGGTACGGTATATAACACTTGTTTAACTCTTTTCTTTTTAGTATTGCTTATTTGTACTGATTATATTCTTATCAATGACTAAGATAAAACCAAATTTAGTTACTAGCGTTTTATTTCGAAACAATCCTGAATCAAGAACATGTAGCTTCAAACCGTTTTCTCGTCTCTTCTGATGCTACTTCAGCCTGTTTATGAAT